AACCTCAAACTCTTGGGCTCAAGCTATCTTCCAGCCTCACCCTCCCGAGTAGCTGGGACTACAGGCACCCACCACAACACCCGGGTATTTTTAGAGATGTGGTCTCTCTTGCTCAGAGTGGCTTAACCTGTGAGCTCAGGTGACAACCCCCGCCTTGACCTCCCAGAGCGCTAGGATTACAGGTGTGAGCTACCATGCTGGCCACACCAATCTAATTAATAGTTAAGACAGTGCTATAGAACAACTCCTGTTTATATAGACAAGTTCTTTAATAACGTTAAAGGTTTAATACTGTCATAAATTTTAATACAGTATTTTAAATATAAGTGAGTTAATCATTCTCAAAAGTAAATTTACTTAGCTGAGTAAGAAATCCCTGACTTCATTAGTATTCTCTGACACAAAAATTTCCCTTGTCACAGCTGACGGTTTACAGGCTCGGCACTGGCTTTAGCTATAAAAACCAGTCAAATTGATGCCTATTCATTAAGTGGCTGCTCCATACACACTGATGGTGCTTGCCTGGGTTCTATTGCCAAGGGGAGTGAGAAGTTAAGCCAATCACAGCCTTACTAGCTGTCAAACTAGAAAATGAGAGAGTTGCATTAAATAATTACTAAGGCTTCTTCTAGCTCTAACTAAATGCAGCTCTGGAATTTTACATGTTTTAAAAACACCAGATATTGAGGTGCGTGTCAGGGAAGCATAACACCCAGCCTTTCCACTGATATGCACGGAAGGTGCATGTTAAAATACAAACATGTCCTCTGGGAAAAGATGGCATTAAGACATCATCAGCCATCTCTATAGGATAAGATACTCTCCTCCAGCAGGAATTAGCTCCAGGCAGCTTCCAGAGTTGCCCAGGAAGAGCAGTTGCCAGGAAGAAAAGGATGGAAGCAGGCATTATAAATCAAACACCTATAGAGGCTGGGCAAAGAGCATAAATAAATGGGGAGAGATGGATGGAAACTGTGCAAAAATGAAAAGCTGCTCCTCAGCTCCAGTTAATTGTTGCCTTGTAGGAATATAAGCCATGCGTTATCTCATCTTCAGATTCTTCCAAAGAAAGCCAAAAATGTGCAAAAAACTCTTGATTTTTGAATATATATTCAAAATATTTTAATGCTATGCAAGCCAAGTATGTCTCCACACCAGATACACCTGGAGGACAGCAAATTTGAGATCTTTTATATGGGGCACTGTACAGCCAAGGAATATAATAGGGATGGGGAGAAACATGGGAAATGAGAGGAAGGGTACAAGAGGATGGGGGCAGGCCGGGCGCCGTGGCTCACACCTGTAATCTTAGCACTCTGGGAGGCCAAGGCAGGTGATTGCTTGAGCTCAGCAGTTCAAGATCAGCCTGAGCAAGAGTGAGATCTACCATCTCTACTGAAAATAGAAAAATTAGCAGAGCACTGTGGCAGGTGTCTATAGTCCTGGCTACTGGGGGGGCTGAAGCAAGAGGATCACTTGAGCCCAGGAATTTGAGGTTGCTGTGAGCTATGATGCCAAGGCACTCTACCTATGACAAAAGAGTGAGACCCTGTCTCAAAACAAACAAAAACAGGATGGAGACAGCCAAAACTATATCTGAGGCCGGCCATGCTGAGGGAATTCAGAGAAGTAGGCAAACTTGGAGGTAGGAAGACATTAGGATGGGTGTTCTAAACCTTTGCTGGGGTCATGGGTTCCACATGAAATTCTGATAAATGTTTTAGAGTTTTTCTCTGGAAAAATAAACATACATGTAGTGGACAGAATAGTGGTCCCCCAAAGATGTCCATGTCCTCATCCTTGTCCCTCCCCTGCCACGTTATCTTACATAACAAAAGGAACTGTGCAGATGAGATTAAGTTAAGGACCTTGAGATAAGAAGATTGTATTAGATTTCCTGAGTGATCCCTATCTAATCACATGGATACTTAAAATCAGAAAATATTTCCCGCCCATGATCAGAGAGAGATATGCTGTTGCTGGCTTTGAAAATGGGAGAAGGAACCATGAGCCATAGAATGTGGGCAGTCTCTAGAAACTGGGAAAAGCAAGGAAATGAACTGATTCTTCCCTGCTTGACACCCTTCTCCGGCCCAGTGAGACCTGAATTGGACTTTTATCCCAGGGGACTATAGGATAATAAATCTGTGTTGTTTCAAGCTATGACTTTATGGTCATTTGTTAAAAACAAAACAAAACAAAAAATATAAACACACTCCAACTCAGAAAAACATTCATAGCCCTCCCCAAAGCTTATGCACAGACACAGAGAAAGGCTCCCTGTGCTAGAAAGAGCTCTGAGAGCTCTCAGAGCTGCAGGTGTGAATCTACTTGGCATGCATGGAAAAGATCAATGTCCACCCCATGACCTCAATCAACCTCAACATCTCACTTCTACAAGGATGAATTCATTCTCTGAATGCTACTCCTTCAAGTATCACGGATACGATGTGTGAGCCCTTGGTGGCATCTTGCCACAGAGAGATCTCTCTACCTTTTCTCATAGTGTACTTTATGTTCATAACATTCTCCCCTGTCCCACCCCCAAGAAGGTGGCCTTTTACACCTGCTGAGATTTAGCCTGGCTTCTTGGCTCCCTCCAAGACAAACCTAGGTCTGGTGTGTCCTGTTACAATATCATGTTTCTACCAAGACCCTGTTCAGCAAGATATGCCTGGACCTGGCCAGATGCTGGCTTAAAACAGAAAAGGAATGTTAGTTATCAGGAATGTGAGCTACCTGATTCAAAGTTGTTTTTAGCCTCAGATCTTATTTCACTGGTTCATCACATTTCACAATCCCTGTAATATTTCGAGATGGATTTTTTTTTAAGTTCCATTAGAATGTCCTGGGTGACGCCACCATGGTTGTGATAAATAACTTAGTTTAAAGGTTACCCACCTAATCTAAATACTCAACTTGACAGAACTAGACATAACCGGCTTAACAGCACTCCTGATCTGCGACTTAACACCAGACCCTGCACTATGCACAGACCCCTCTGAATGCTGCTAGCTCAAAAGTCTAGGTCCTGTGAACGTGGGGCATGGAGGCTGAGTGGGGAAAGCAGAAAAGGACAAGAAGGTACTTCAGATCCTATGGTGGTTTGCTAAGGGGTACGGGAAGAGAGACCAGATCTGCTTCAACAAGGAGAAGCAGCCCATCTGACGGGGACTGGAAGAAAATCCTGACTTAGGGAGGAAGACTGTCCAGTGACCCTGTATTTGGTTTCTTTTCCTGACATGCAGAAGAGTCTGGGAATCTTCTAAAATTTTACACAAAGTTGTGTGTGTGTGTGTGCATGTGCACGCATCTTCTCCTGGGGAAAGATAGCACAGATCTCCAAGAATATAAATAAAGTGTAACTCCCCTGCCTGCCCACTATATAAGAATTGCTCCTCTGTTTCTTCCCTCACAGGCCTAATCTCACTCAATAACACTGTTAGCTCTCAACTAGTCACATGTGAATGATTGTCACTACAAAATCCCATTTAATTTCTGCATTGCCCACGGACAACAGCAAAATTGCCAGTTAGCTTTTCTGCTGTAGGTGGAACACGAAATGGTTTTATGTTTACAGAATATCAAGCATCTTTGAGAAGCTTAATTACTAATACCATTCTTCCTTATTGGCCCCTGCCGAATATCTACCCCCAAAGGACCACCATATAGTCCATACACAAGCATGAATAATGTAGATGTGGGCTTTGTTTGTTTTGTTTCGGTTTTATGCTATGTTGAAATATGCATGGGAATACACTTGACCTTATTCTTGCTGACAGAGGCAGTCATCGGGCTGGTGGATCTTTGTCTAAGCGGATTCCAGCCAGCCCAAAACAGCTTTATTACAATAAGGCCTCAAATAAAAGGGAGAATGTCCTGACCCGTGGAGAAATGACAAGTTTGAGTCCAACAGGTATTATCTGTCAGGTAAAAATAAAACAGACCAGAGATGGCAACTTGTGAGGACGGTTATTAAATGTGCCCAGAAATCCACTGGGATACTGATTCACCTCACCTTTGGGGGGTTCCATGATGCCAAATTTAGCATACTGGATATTTTAATGCACAATTACATAGCACAGCCAATCTTCATTTAGACTGTGATGCCTCAGAAAAAAATTCTAAAGGTCATGCTCAGAAGCGTAGCCCTCCCTTTCCACTAAGTAAGGGCTATGATTACACTGTACACAAGATCCTACAAAGACAGCTGACACAACTAGCGGTTGAATTCTTTCTTCTGTTTATTTCCAGAGGAGACTTTCCGTAGACAGCTGCAATGTCGGGCTCCCATCAGAAAGGCATGCCAACTTTTCTGCAGGCAGCTTTTCACCCACATCCTGCCCTGGGCAGTCTCCAGCAGGTCCAGTAGTCTAGAGAGGCCACCCCTGGGGCTACTTCAGGGCTAAGGTCACTTGACAACAGGGCCACACTGGGGGCAGCACAGAATCTGCACCTGCCATGCTGTAATCAGACATTTGTCAATTCAAATTCTGGCTCATCTATTACTTGCAAGTGTCTTAATGTTTATGAGATTCAGGCTCCTCCAAAAAAGGAGACTATGGGTACTTAATTTTATGAGGAAGTGGTGAAGACCAAATGAGAGAATTTATAAAAAGCAGTTGGCATGGCGCCTACAGAGTCATCATGAATTTATCATAATCATAGCGGAAGCTAATCCCCTCTAGCATGGAATAAAGGGGACAGAATGAATGAAATTAGCATTTCTCTCCCAGGGCAGGACCTATCACCACCCCTTCTTGGGCCTGAAGGTGGATTATCCTCAAATAGAAGACAGAGAAAGTGGGTCATTTATATTTCTCTTACACTCACTCTGTGATTCTCCTTCTAGGCCCCTTTAAGCAGTTTCTCTGACTCTAAGGAATGCCCATGAAAATCAGAAAGCCTTGACTCTTGTGTGGGGGTGGCAAGCACACGAGTTCTCATTTCTGGGAAAGGAACCCCGGGCACAGTGCAGCTTCTGACAACAAGAGACCCACCTTGGTTGAAGTCGCTCTGTTTCTTGGCACCTGAAGGTTTTATTTTGTGGACTCTCCTGAGCTGGCGTTCCTGCTCTCTCCTGACACTCTGACTGGCTGGGCACCACGTGCTCTGTCTCCTGCGAGAAGAAACAGCAAAAGTACGTGAGCAGTCAGCAGCAACCAGTTCCATAGCATTCTTGGGGTGGGAGGTGGGTCTCAGGCAGGTAGGCAGAAATACACGACACACTCTGTGACTACAGTGCAGGAAAAAGAGCCCCAAATCTAAAAAGTCTCTTTCTTTCTATGAGTCAGCTGCCGCAGGATTGCAGTATAAAGAAAAAATAATAATAGGGCAGCGCCTATTGTTCAGTGGGTAGGGCACCGGCCCCCTATACCGAGGGTGGTGGGTTCAAACCTGGCCCTGGCCAAACTGCAACAACAACAACAAAATAGTCAGGCATTGTGGCAGGCACCTGTAGTCCCATTACTTGGGAGGCTGAGGCAAGAGAATCGCCTAAGCTCAGGAATTGGAGGTTGCTGTGAGCTGTGTGACGCCACAGCACTCCACCAAGGGTGATAAAGTGAGACTCTATCTCCACAAAAAAATAACAATAATAATAATAAATCTAATGTCCAAAAGGTAGGACATAGCCATACAATGAGAACTTTATAAAAATCAAAAATGTTTCTATAGAAGAATGTGTGATGAATAGATATATCCAAAAATACAATTCATAGAACAATATTTAGAGCATAGGCTCATTTTTGCAAAATATATGTATGAATGTACACACACACACAGATTAGAAAAAGTTAAGCCAAAATCTGAACAGTGACTAACAACTCGGAGATGGCATTTTGGTTTTTTTTTTTTGGGGGGGGCATGTATGTTTACTAAATTTTCTACAAAAAACAGACATTATTTCTGTGATAAGAAAAAATAATTGTTATTCTGAAAACTAAGAAACAAACTGTTTCTATAAATTCCAAGGCTTAAACGTGTTTGATATCTCCTACCCCTGGCCCCTCCTCCCCAACACACTGTAGCCACTGGCTACACGTCATCTAAAGAAACCACCACAGAGATCATCCATGATGCAATCCACTCATTTATCTAGAAAACCTCCAGAGTGCTAAACTCTCTAGAGAATAACAAACACGCCCCAGCTAAAAGTAATCTGGATTCAACACAAAGGCTCACACACACCAAAAATAAAAGATTTACCTATGTCCAGCAGTAGCATGATTACAATCTTTGAGCCATGCCAAACCTCTAACTCACAAATTTTCCTTGGAATAAAATAGCCCCTCTTTACATGATCAATGAGATACTAAAACAGAAATCCATGAGAAATTTAGTAAATGCAGATGGCTGCCTTCATCCAGGCAAAGTAGTCAAGGGATGCAGTGAATCTGGGGCTGACTGTGCACTATAATGTGGTAGCAATAGAGCCCCAGATCCTCTTTTAGGGATGCGGGATGAAGTTAATACAAGTGCCAATATGTCAGGTGTCTTAGAAGTCATGTTTCCAAAATACTAGAATAACCCTGTGAGGCTATTTGCCTAGCAGGCACTATAAGCCTCTATAATAAAATGGCATGAATGCCTTCATATCAGATGGGTAAAATGGGGAGGTGGGCAGAGCTGTGGGAAAAGAATGAATTAGGCCTATAGAGATCCTTTCTTTAATTCTTCCAGGCCTCCAGTTTCAGGCAAGAAGACTAATTTCTATGAGTAGGCACTAATTCCCTACAGAGTTTGTAAAAAATTCTATAACTACCCAAATACTGACCAAATTCCCTCATACAATGGTTTTACCTACGAAATCTCTGTTCCTTCATTACTTGCTAGACGTATGACCTTAGCAAATTACATAAATTATCTGGGCCTCAGTTTTCTTGTCTGCAAAATGGGGATAATACCACCAACCCTGCAAGGTTTTTAAACAAGATGCCATAAGAGCCTCTCATAGTGCCTGGCAGCTGGGGGCAGACAGCAAACAGGAATGATCAGTAATTCCTTTATAGTTCAATATTCTGAAACTACTGCTCAGTAGATCCTTGGAGACTCAACTCAAATGGGTTCAGCAAAATAAAGCCTATTTTTGTAGTGAAATGCTGGTTTTAAGTTTCCATACTAATCATGATATTATTTTAAATATCATATGTAGAAGCCTTAATAGCTGTAGGCCTTAAGAAATGGTCCTTCGGAACTCTTAAAAAATGTAAACCCCAAATTTCCATTTTATTAAAATTGTACCTTTTTAGGAAAGAGTTAATATTGTTGTTTTGTTTTGCTTTTTTTAAAGACTGTATTTTATCTAATTCTTTGAACTCTCAGGGTAAAAAGGATTAGAGAGGCCACGCGCGCTGCTGGCCGTTGGATTCCCTTGGATCTAGGATTTACATTAGAGATAAGTAAGAGGAGCTTTGGACGAGGAGCTCCTGTAATCTGGTCAGGCTGGAGATCTCAAAGCACTGCAGGAGGAGAACTTCTCTCAGGAATTGAGGGAAAAAGAGTATTTGGAGACAGCTGACAATCAAGTCCCAGATTCAAATGGAATGAAGCAAAATATACTGTCTGTTATATTTCTTCTCCCCAGCTAGGAATTTCAAACCTCAGGGTCGTATGGAGAGTTGGGGGAAGAATGAAAAGGGAGTCTGGTGTAAATCATCTTGAATTCTGAGGAACGGAGCAGCCTCTGACGTGAAATGTACCCCCAGTAGTAGGCAGGTTGCCCTTCCCAATGCTCTAAAGTTCTGACATCCAACACTCCTCAGATCAGAAACCCAAGTATAGCCTTAAAAAATGCTGGTCTTACGAGCTTGGAAAATCTGTCGTTCTTAAGAGAAAGAGTAAAGATTTTCTGTTTAGTCCCTACCATTACATTGTCTCTTCACAGAAAGACCCCACGTGGACCAACAGCCCCAGAAAAGCTCACACGGGAATCAGTGAATCTTCAAATGCTTCTAACTTCAAGACTTTAAGTCTTACGATTAATGCCCCAGACAGCATAGGGCAGAGACAAGAGCTCCCTAATGAAACCGAAGTGACTTTCTGACCCTCAGAAACCATGAACCGTAATATATGATTATTGCTATTTTAAGTTTTGTGGTTATTTGCTATGCAACAATAGATAACAAAAGCACATTACCTTTCCTCTATGCTAAGATACCATCAATTATAAATGCCCTCATCACTATGATTAAATAATAGCCTTTTAGGAAAAAAACATAATGCCACAGTAAATGCACCCATTGATTTAAGGTACATTCAGACATGAGTAAGCTAAAAGCCCAAAAGGCTATGTGCGCTGGCATGAGGAATGAGGCAGCAGGCCTAGCACGGCATGTGAGGACACAACCAGCCTTGTCTCCTCACACACCCAGAAAAAAGCAGCTCCAAGAGTCTCAGGTGGAAGATGCAAGCACCTCACAGGAAATATGGGAGGAAAACTCAGCCCTTCTTCATCCTAGTTTTTAAAAAAACATTTCATGTTTTCCCTTAAAGGAAGAAGACAGAAGGAAAAGGGATATCATCTCATTGAATTCACAGAGCAGTAACTTTCAAAGGTATTGTGCTGCCATTTATTCTTAAAGATACAAAGGAACAGATACAAAATGAGAACAGTAGTATTCAGTCAAATGTATCTGTCTCCATCACAGAGATGTAGCCAGACATGCTGGGGACGGAGGCTCACTCTCTTGGTGAACGCACATCTATGTTCCTGTTAGACTCCACTGCCTTGCCAGTGTGAAGGTTCACCAGGGCTGACAAAGAAAGTCCCAAGTGTAAAAATCTACCTGTAGGTGACTGAGTTACCATTTTCTTCCCGTGTCCATCCCCTCCCCCAAAGGCAACAACACCTAAACAAGAAATAAAGGACACATTTGATTACCTTTGCCCATTTAAACTTCATCACATCTTTGGTGGGAATTGAGTGTAACAGCTAATCACAGAACATTAAAGCAGGGTGTTTATTCTGTTATCTAACAAAAATGCTACTATATACCAAGCATTTTAATAGTTGAGGGGGTTACACAAAGGTGAGTAAGCCATCCCTGCCCCCAAAGCACTTTAAGGTCTACTATTTGACACAGACTCAAGTGTATTATAGTTCTGTCTTCATTATACGCCACATGTTGGTGAGTTAAACACAACAAAATTATTGTCTTTTCTTTTAAAAGTGTCTACTGAAGATAAAAAGAATAAGGTAACAATTAACATGTACTTTGTTACATTAAAAAATCTGATATACATATTTCTATTGCCTGTTAGCCTGTTCTAAGCTTCTTTAACTATTACAAAAGAAAAAGAAGTCATTGTTCAAAGGCAAACATTCAATTCAGTTGATACAACATTACAGTACAGTCAACTAACATCATTCAACAAAGGTAACAAGTCTAGCCTTAGCCTGAGTTAGAAGTCTGTAGACCAGATTGCTATAAAAGGTTCAAAACTGCTTCAAAACTGTTATATAACTTTTTGGAGGACATGGTTCTTTCTACCAATGGCTTCGAAGAAGGGGTCATGCTACTGGTCAAAGCACAGGGGCACCCCAACCTGTCATTAGTCATTTTATTGAGCACTGTAGTTAGAATAGCATTATTGAGTTTAGCACAACAAACTAAAGTAAAAAAATAATATCGTAACAATCATTATAATGATAAGAATAAAAAAACCCACAAACTGGAAGCCTGGAGCTGCTGCTAGCCATGTCAAACTCTTGCAATATGCTATACCAAAAAATTTGAAATATCCACTGGTTATCTTCACTCTGCCAGAAACTTGCAAAGTCAAAAATACAAAAGTTTTCAACTTGTTACTTTCACAGAATAAAGCAAAAACCTCTTTGTGCTCCTTACTACCAGGAGCAAAATATCCTCTGAGTTCCCGCATATAATAGCTTCTGGATGTGTCAACCTGGGTGGGCTTGGTGTCTGCAGAACTGTCTTTGTCCTTCTCACTGTCGCCTTCCCAGAGGTTAATGAGTGGTGGGTATAGCTCTTTTAGTGGGATTGAAGAGGTTTTTGCATATACTTTTTTAGTGAATGGTGGTAATTTTTTCTGTTAAAACTTTTGGCAAAGTACACAGCAATGGACGCAAGGCTAATGACAGCAAACATGGACCCCATT